TAGTAGAGGACATGACTTCTGGTTCATAGATGGCAATTTCACTGTATTCTCACATGATGGAAGGTCCAAAGCGGTCTCTCTGTTGGACCTCTTTTATTAGGGCATTAATTCTGTTCATGATGTCAGAACCTTCATGACCTAATCGTCTCTCAATGGTCTGACCTAATACCATCACCTTGAGGGTTAGGATTTCAGCATATGAATGTGGAGGGAACACATTCAGTCTGTAGTACCTTAATAATCTATTTCTGGTGCAATTGTATTACATTTGTTATAACTCTGCTGTCTGGCAATCCTTGGACTGAGTATATGAGCATAAGCAGTTTCCCTTCAGTTAGGGTGATACTATTTTGCCAGTGGCTGCTTCCTTTAAAGGGACAACTCGGTTAAATTTGGCATGAATGAGCAGAAAGGTGAAGACACAAGTTATAGAACACAGAAGCTGGGATTAGTTAACTGTCAAAATACAAGCAGGCCTCCTTTGTTCTGAAAGACCAAGCACTATGATTTATTTCCCTCCTGGCCAGAGCTGCTTTCCTTTTGTTCTCCTTATCAGTGACGGAAATCTGGAAATTACCCAGGAATCCTCGTCTGCTTATAATTAATTTTCTTTAGAGAGTAGTTCTAGGGTTGAATTCTGGAGTTAAAAATCACCATAGGCTTTTGCTGCAAAAATGAACCAGGAGGGTCCCTGGAATAAAGAAATCCAGGAGCCCACCTGGCCCAGGCAGTCTGTATCCAAGTAATTTAATCCATTTGCACACCTCTGTCCACTTTATTTCTGTTAACACTGACCCTAGACTATCACTAAAATTGTTTTATCCCTACATTTTTAAGAGCTTTGGGGGGGGGGTCCTTTTCTTCCCCTAGTACCAGGAATCAAACTCAGGACCTCACAGGGAATGGTGGCACACATCTGTAATCTCAGCACTTGGGAGGCTGAGACAGGGGGATCACCATGAGATCCAGGCCAGCCATGGCTACATAGTGACTACAGGCCAGCCTGAACACATAGCAGGCCTCACACCTCTGAAGGCAAGTGCTACACCACAGAGCTACATCCCCAACCCCATCTCCACATTTCTTCCTTCATGCCTATTATAATGGCTGTAGTTAGCATACTTTGGTTATAGTGGAAATTTGATCCCATCTGCTTCTAAAATTTCAAGTTGTCTTTTACTTTGTTTTTGTGGGGATTTTTGTTCAGAAAGAAGCCGCTTTGTTTGAAATAAGATTTCATGAGGAATTAAGCATTGGTTTGGGTGTTGTGCCTCTTTGGATTCTTAATTTAGAATACTTACTCCCACTTTTTTTTTCCTACGATATTTACTTGCCAAAGGTATTGTGTGTCAAAATTACTTCCTGTCACATAGTATGGAGTGCACAAAGAGGTTTATCTGTTTTCTCCATTCACCATCATGAGCCAATCTTCCCTGGCTCACCCTAAAGACGATAAAAATGTAAACTCCTTAGTGTAGCCTTTCATAGTTTGAAATCAATCTACCTTACCAGGCTTATTTCCTTCTACATCTCTCAAATCCCCTGCATTTTCAGAAGAGAACCTAACACTTTCAAATGAGCTCTGAAACTTGGAAATTCTACAATGGAGAGTGTCAGGGCCCTTCTCCTGTGTCTGCCTCAGCTTTTCATTTTATGAACAGTCCTCATTTCCAGCAGCATTTCAGCAGCACTTTGTGAGTGAAGATTGTGAATCTCTACTGCAGCATTTGATTTACTCTATACTAGTATATTGCTGAAACAATCATCAAATGATCGTAAGAGTGATTAAAATTTTATTTTTAATTAGCTTGGTTAATTGAAGCTACCTATGAATGCCCAAAAATACCTGATATAGATAGAGAAGCTATATAATTTTATATTTTAGTGAGGCCTTTTGAGAATGAAAGGGGTACTACAAATAACTACACTTAAATGACATGTTATGAATAAACTTATATTTGTAAACATCCTGGCACTTTGTATGTCTGTTTAAATATGCTTGACTTTTATTTTCCCCATAGATATTTACTGTGCCTCTTGTACTGGGCAGACACAATTCTGGGTTCTGGGAATACAGAGGTAACACAAGTTGCACAGTTCTGGGAACATGAAGTAAACAGACATACAAAGTTCCCTGACCTCATGGCTTCATGGGACTTACAGTCTAGCAGCCTTTTTTCCCCTGCTGTGGCTAAGCTAGCATGCCTTTCCATCTCTGGAACACAGAAGAACGTATGAACTTCTGTTCTATCAAAGCTGTTACTGATCTTTTTTTCAACAGCTTGATGCAATGGAAAGAGAACAAATGATTTTTAGGCAAGGATCAAGGTCAGCCTTTTAGTTCAGCCACTCAATTAGTGACTTTGAGTCAGATACTCATGTGATCTTGGTCTGAAGGATAATACTTACATTGCCATACAGTCTTAAGAACAAATATTTGTATATGCCCTGTAGGTGGTAGTTATTGCTGTATTCTCTCAAGTGATACCACATCTGAACACAAAGAACAGAAAATGTCAATTCAACCTGACAGGGAGAGAGAAGACAGGGGCGGAACTTGAGGGGGAAATGTGTCCATGCTGGGCAACGAAAATTGTCTTAAATGGAACTGTTCTCTCTATCTTTTGAGTCACAGAGCCTGGGAAACAATCTACTTAGAAGCAAAAGGTGAGCTTTCAGTAACAGAAACCAGCTGCCTAACTCAAGCCTTTTCACAGGTAAGCACCTGGTGTTCTGAGTGCAATATTCCCCCCCAGGCTCAGATCCTAATGTTCCCCCAGAATCTCAGAGTCTTGTCAAGAAGAGTCTAGAAAGCCAGAAGGGCAGAATGCAGATTCTGGAGAGTGAGGAGAAACCTGAGTGAAGGTTGGAAAGATACTGGAAAAAGCTGAAAAAGAAGAGGCACCACTAGCTCATACTCCACGCAGGAGTCTCAAGTTTATGCAGTGTCTTGAATCATGGCACAGAGGCAACAAGAAAAGAAGTTTTGGAAAGATTTGATTAGCTCTCTTAACACAGGCTGCTTTATGGTACGCTCAGATGTTCATAATCAGAGCAATTAGAACACTGTTCAAGTCCACTATCCAGTAAATCAAATTAAATCTAGTTTAAATGCAAGTGAATAGCTTATAATCAACATAAATCTGAATACTTATCCAGTTAAAATAGCTTGGTGTTGGTATAATACATGAACACAGGTGATGAGAAGACATTTACTGATAATAAAAGGAAAATAAAAGTTTCTAATACATTCTGCTTTTGCCAAACTGCCTTTCAGTACACGTAACATTCTCACCTAAGAGCACCAGAATTTGAAGTGATGCTAGAATTCATTTGATAAGTCTTTTTCTATTTAAACTGCTACTGCACTTAAAGCAATACACTAGGAAACACAGGAAAATTTAAAAAAAAAAAAACTAGAGTAGAAATAAAAAGCATCTGTAATGCCACCATTCAGAGTATGCCCTATTAACACCTTGGTATACACAATAAGTACGGACAGTTTTTACAATATGACATCATCACTAATGTTCTTTATCCATGCCACTTTACTTCTGTGGTCACAGCAACATGCTGGGCACTCCAGTATCTATAATTTTTAGAATACTGGATTTCCATTTGCAATCTGTGACAGGCTAAAACCCTTAATTAGTAACAGCAGGTGCTGAAGTGCTTAAAGCAAATCACTCCTGCATTTTAGTGAGTTGTTATTTATGTCACTCTTATCACCAGGAGCAGGGATGACAATCAGCAGCAGCTGCGTGGGCCCACTCTCACAGGGCAATCTCGGGCCTTGATTCCCTAGGAGCCAGAGATTTAAGCAGCTCTATCAGGACAAACTGAGCAAGCTGCTCTCCTGGCAAGGGCGCACAAAAGGCCCTGCTGGAGCTTCATACTCTCAAGGGTTGGAATCCACAATTATTTAGTACCACTAGATAATTAGCTATTTTATTCAGAATTCCATTTAGTGCAGCTTGGCCTAATCCTGCACCATAACCTACTACTTTGAGCTTTAATAGGTTTCCCCCATCTTGAAAAAATTAAGAGAACCTGTTAAACGGAGCCACTTCAGAGCAGTAAATAATTCCGTTTCAGAAAACTTGTGCTCAAGGAGAGAGATCAAGCAGAGCCTTTGGAGGGGGAACAATTGCCCTGGGTACAAAGACCCCCTCTTATATAAATCAAGAAGATCTGAGACACTCTAGAAGAAAGCAAACACAGGCCAGCAGAGCTTTCTGGTGGTCAAGGTTTCATGTTCTCTAGTGGGGCAGTGATAGACTTTTTTTTTTTAACTAGCATTTAATGATTCAGGGCCCATGCCATGGCCAGGTCCCATCCCGCCCTTTCTTTTATGCGGGGACAGTCCGGCTAAGTTGCCCGGGCTGGTCTGGTCTACCACGTCGCCAAGAGCCATTTTGGCTTCACGGACGGCATCGTGCAAAGGGCACTTTCAGCAGAGGCCTACGATCTCCGTGAAGGTGGAGGAGCCTTTCCAGCAGACGGCCTCTTCCCACACTGGCCCACGCGTGTGTGCGAGTGTACGAGTGTGCGTGTGTGTACGCGCAAGCTTGAGCTAGGCCACCTTGGGACGCGATGCCTGTTCGCAAACCGAAATCCAGCAAGTCAATGTGTGCACAAAGGAACACGGGAAATACGCTTCCCTACATTCCACCTCCTGCATTAAAACTCAAAACACAATTCACATTTGGACCGCGGTAGTTTCGAGGGCCACTAAACTGTGTTCCTGGATCATGCAAGTGGCCGTCGGCTAGAAAACGCAGTATTGGCCGCAAGCGTCAAGGCCCCGGCGTCTGGGCACCGGGCCGGCCCAGGTCGCCGCGTCCCGCTGAGGCGCTGCAGCCCGGCCCGCAGCTCGGCCGCTCCGCCCCAGCCCAGCCCTGGACGGGGCAGCCCGCCGGCCGCTCTATGAGAGCTGCCCAGGCCCGGGCCCGCCGGCAGCTATCATCGCAGCTGCCTCCTCTTCCTCCTCCTCCTCTTACCTGGCCCGAGATCCCGCCGAGCTCCCGGCCCATAATTGAGGCGGCCATGCCCGCGGCGCACGTGCGGCGGCGGAGCAGCCTGCTGCCCTCAGGAGGAGCTCGCCAGCCGCGCGGCCCGCCGCTCGCGCCAGGGCGCCCACCACAGCTGGGGGCGCGCGCGCCGGCCGCCCTTAAAGTGGCCCTGGCGCCGGCCCGCCACCTGGGGGAGCACCTGGCCGCGCGAGGGCCACCTGCGGGCCGGGCTGCCGCGGGAGCAGGGACCGGCCCAGCCGCGGACGCCGCGGACGCCCTGCCCGTCCATGTTCGCGAAAGGTCTGGAACCACCGGGCTGCAGGAGGGGAAGCCCACCCTCGTCTCAGGCTGTTCCAAAAAACGGCAGGCGCATCCTTTTATGGGCAGTTTTTAGCTTGATATGTTAGGAACCAGCAAACAAGACTTTTCTTTTTATAGATATTTTATAGACACATATTTATGTTGGAAAGACAGGCAGAAACAGAGATAGACATAGACAAAAAGATGGCGAGACAGCGACAGACAGAGACAGTCAAAAAAAAAATGTACACGCACTTCAGGAAAAAGCACAATAAAGTGATGTTTTTCAACAGATGGTGTGACTTTCCAACAATTCACTTGAAGGTACTAGCGGATGTTGTGCATGACAGAAAACCCAACTACCCTGCCGGCCCTTAGAGCAGAAACAGAAAATGCGTGTGCAGCAATCTCAGCTGCACACTGAGGTTACCAAGCTGTAGTGTGCCATACTAATGAATGTCTGGAAGCTGAGGCCACCGCTTTGAGCATCTCTGGTGATGGCAGAGGCCCAAGGTAACTTGTGTTACTCTCATAATGTTTCAATAAATTTAGTATTAAAATATTTATACACATTTTTCTCTTCCTGAAGTGTGTAAACATTTTTTGTGGAATGTATATATTAGGGACCTGTAGTACATCGATAGTGCTTTCTTTCCAAACCACGCATGGGATTTAACAAATATCGTTCCCATTTTCTCAAATAAGAAAGTGAGGCAGTAAGAAATCTTCTGGTAGCTACTGCTCTGGTAACTCGTTCAGCATTCACTACACATTTTTTTGAGATGTATCAGATGTCAGGGCCTGTAGAGGATTCTTTCTGCTATTACTAGTGTATCATGAGTTTCTCAATGCTAGAAATGTGCTGGTGGTTACTTTATTTTTTTGTAGACCCTCGATCTCACGTGACCATAGAGAAGTACTCTGCATGAACCAACGCCTCAGTTTGTCTCTGAGCAAGCCTCCTGGTTTCTGAGCAGCAGCTACTGCATTCTGAGGACCTGATTTAGATCGTGAGAGCATGCAGAAATATTGCTGTGGTTCTCTATTTTGGTGGAAAGAAACTATGCAGATTCACTTCTGAAGGGATCATTTTGTATTATTTCTGGAAGTACAGTTGGCCCTCCATATTCATGGGTTCCACAGCTGTGGACTGGACCAACTATGGATCAAAAAAAATTTTTTTTTAAAGAAAAATGGCACCTGTATTAACCATGCAGACTTTTTCCCTTATTATTCCCTAAATAATATACTATAGCAACTATTTACACAGCATTTACATTGTAGTAGGTGTGACTGAATAAATACAACTTACGTAAGTATTTAAGATCTGAAGCGCTCAAGACTTTTTAAGATTTGGGAATATCTATATATATAATGATACGCCTTGGGGTTAGAACCGAAGTCTAAACATGAAATTCATTTCTTTTTCTTGAATACCATAGTATACACAAACTTTTTAATAATTTTGTGTAACTTCATATGTGGTCCAGTGTCCAGTTTTCCACTGATGGCATCATGTTAGCACTCAACAAATTTCAAATTTTGGACTTTCAGATTGGATTTTCCATCTGTGCATATAATCTAGAAATGATTTAAAATATGCAGTAAAATGTGAGTAGTAAATGCAAACACTATGCCATTATTGCAAGGACAAGAGTATCTGTAGATTTGGATGTCTGCAGGGGTCCTGGAAACCATGCCTTGCTTATACCAAGTGACAACTCTAAATGTGTATGTTTAGTAAATGTCACCTCTTTATTCTCTTTCCAACTAATCAAAAAGAGAGACATCTAGATAAATGTGTGAGGAGGGTGGTGTGCCTACCAATACAGGATGAAGGTGAAGCTGTGCTCAGACACTGGGGTGAGGTATGAATTGAGGCAACTTAGCGCACCTCCCCTCAGAAGTACCCAAGTTTTCAGTGCTCCAGAGGTAGAGGATAGCAAGTCTGATGCTAATCATGACTAAGACATTGTTGAAACTAACAGATACACATTGTTTTTAAATTTGATTTTTAAAATGTCTCTAAGATTATGTGAGAAGTCATCACTCCTGTGTTAAAGAAAAATAATATTTTTTCTGTATCTCGAATATAAGAGGTTAAATAAGAATAAGCAGATTTTTCATTTTCAACCTTTGAAGAAAGAAAAAGGAGCCTCACTCTATAGACATTTATTATAAAATAATGGCTCTCCCTAAAAGGGATTGCATTCCTTATGGGATGGTTGGCAATGTCTAGAGACAGATTTCATCATCATAATTGGGATGGGGTTGAACTGACTATAATTGATGGAGTTCAAGGAATCTAAAATATGCAGAACAGCCCTCTACAACAGAGAATTATCAGCCTCAAATGGCATTAGTGCTCTATAATCCTTCCAAATTATAACATAAAGTATAAACATTTTCTTTTTTACATTTAATTTTTTTAATTATTCTCTTTTATGTTATGAGAAACCAATGGAAAAATTGGTATGAAAATGTAGTACTATGAATTATGGAATATAATAAAAATAATTATGCCAACGTAAATATATTTGAAATACTTTTTTTTTTTTTTTGTATTTTTGTATCTTTACCGGTACCAGGGATCGAACTCATGACTGCCTGCTTGCAAGGCAGGCGCTTACGCCGCTGAGCTAAATCCCCAGCCCTATATTTGAAATACTTGCACTCAAAATTAGTCATCAGGCTTTGAAAAGTTAAATTTATGAACACTTATATGCTTTATATTATCCCCCTAATAAATTATTATAATGAATTTTTATAAGACTTTTAATAGGTTTATAGGTAATACAGGATAAATAGTCTGTTCAAATGAACTTTTATAAAAAATATGCTTTAAATGTTTGGAAAGTTCCATCTAAGTATTTTAGAGTAACTGTTATGTGGTTATATCTAATGCTGTTGCTAACTGGGCTTGTTCTCAAAATCACAGAAATGTAGAATTCAGTGAGGCCCTAGAGATTACATGCTTATCCTGTCCTTTCAAAATGTTGGAATACAAGTTGAAAGCCAAGGATTAACTAGTTTCCATCATTTTTACTAATAACTTTTTTATATATTACATTAAACTCTTTTCAAATACATGTACTTTTTTAAAGTCAGAAAAACTTTAAAACTTTGTACTCACTTTATACCCCAGGCTTGCCTTGAACTCCCAGTGATCTTTCTGCCTCAGCCTCCTGAGTACTGAGATTTACAGGCATGTTCATTTAAAACTTTAAAGTTTTAAAGTCAGAAAAATACACTTTCTTCAAAGTGTATGTTCATTTTATCATGTGTTATAAGATCAGTTCTTATAAACTGTTTATAGGTTCTACACATGCATGAGTCTTTTTTTATTTTAAAGAGGGTAAAATTAAACATATCAAAATAGATCATAAGGAAACAATTTTAAGAAACACGGATTTCAAAGCAAGTCTATTGGAGATCTTCACTGTCTATCTTATTGTCTCTTAGTTTTCTTCCAAGTAGTTGTCCCCATCTTCACACACAGTGAATACATACTGAATTATAGAACTAATCTAATCATAACAGGATGATGAAGGCTTTTTAGGACTTCAAGACTTGACATTGGGGAAGTCAATAATGACTGCCATAGGGTCTCTCATTCTCTTTGAAGTAGCTGTTCTTATCTTTACGTATGCTAAAATTGAACATAAGAGACTAATATCACCTTGAGCAGTGAATAATAGTATTGCTAGATTTTATATCATAATGCTACAGAATTAGCACCGGGTATTTTAGTGTCCCTTCTTCAAGTATCTGTTCATTACATAGTGCATAATATAATCTGTTCCCATAAACTGTTTAGAAATTCTTCCCATGTGTGAATCTCTACATTTATATCTATCCTTTCTGTATTGTAGAGAAAAACAGATCAAAACAAGACAACAAAAGAAATTCCTAGAAAAACATGAAATGAAAAAGACATATAAAACGACCATACTAGGTGATCTACAGTAGTTACTATGCTTTCTCTTGTTATTTTCAATGGAATTGTTCACATCATCAGATATAATATAACTGAACATAGCATTACTGAGCTATTTTAATAAAAACACAATTTTGGAGATATTGTAGGATTTCAAAAGCAGTTAATGATCCAACTGGAATGGGTATCTTATTACATCTTGTCATCTTCAGAGTAGTTGCCTCTACTCTTAGACTTGATACTATCAAGCATACCAAATTTGAATAAAATCAGTCAAGGCAAAACAGCAGTCTCACGAACCAGCTTCAAATAACATCAGTTATAGTAAGACAATGTAAGTAATACAGGGCTTCAGTTTAAGTTAATAGGAAATTAAGGATAGTTATCGTGGCGTAGCCTATTTTGGGGATAGCTGTCTGTGCCTTCAAATCTAGTATGAGTAGATAGACTAGAACAAATTAAAATCAAACTAAACAGCGATAAAACTAATGTGGCTTTGAAATCCTGATACACTCTTAACAATGTCCTCTGCCTTCCTTTTTAAGGCAATAGGTATAGATGAGCTTATGGATATCTGTAGGAGCTGTTGTGATTTCACTCTTTCATTTCTAATTGCATGAATTTGAGTCTTTCCTTTTTTTTTTTTTGAGGGGGTAAAGTTGGCTAAGAGTTTGTTGATTTTACTCTTTCAAAGAACCAATCTTCAATTCATTAATTTTTTTGTATTGCTCTTAGTCTCCATTGCTTTAATTCCTGCTCTGATCTTAATAATTTTCCTCCCTCATACAAGCTTTGAACTTGACCTTCTCTTCTTTTTCTTGAAACTTGAGTTTCAACTTTAAGTTGTTCGCTGGAGTTCACTGTTTTCCTGACACAGGTATTCACCTTTGTAAATTTACCTTATAGGACTGCTTTCATTGTGTCCCATAAGTTCCAGTGTATTGTATTGGCATTTTATTTAATTGTAGAAAATTTCTAATTTCTTCTTTAATCCCATCTGTGACCTATTGGTTTTTCAGGAGGAACACTGTCTGTTGTGTAGTGGAAGGAAAAGACAGGCTTTAAAGGAAAAGAAAGATACTATACACATCAAAATTACAAACTCAGTATCTCAAAGTCAGAAGAACTATAAATTGCATTGGCAGTGGCAGGAGAAAAAAGGAAGGAGCCAGGGACAAGAATACACCCTTCCATGTCACACCTTCAATGCCCTTCCTCTAACCAGGCCCCACTTCCTAACACCAAGTCAGCTAAGAACTCTTCAGGGACTAATCCACTGATAAGTGTAAGTGTTCCATGACCCACTCACCTTCCAAACATATTAGACTTCTGGAGGATGTTTTAGATCTAAACTATAACATGTTTGAACAAGTCAAGTAAATTAGTTTCTGTACACTCACAGTGTCCCCAGTTGCACACAATCACAAATCACTTTTTATAGTACTGATTCAATAAACCCAGAAACCCTGAGAAATCTTGAGCTACCCTTAGAGGATGTATTTACCATGAAATATTTTGTGAGCACATTTCATTGATTCAGGAACCACTCAACATGTCCTTCCTCTATTCATCTTCAGCTACTACTTGGTATTCATTGCTTCTGATCTCAGCCTAAAGAATTTTCTGTCCCATTTTCCCTACAGCAAAAAGGCTGGAACCCCTTCTGCTTGAATGCCTCCTTTCTGCCTCTTGTTCAGTCTTGCTAACCTGAAAGTGCAATTCCAACAGCTGCCTTGTCTAAGTTTTAGCACCCTCATTCTGAACATTCTCATTTGTCCTGGCTTGGCTTTCTCCCACATTACACACTGACTTAGTTTCCCTTCATGATTAGTCTGGGAAGATAAGTGAAACATTTTCAAAGTACTCCTAATTGCATTTGCTACGAACTGAATACCTATTTTTGTCTCCCTTATGCTCAAATATTGAAACTCCAAGGTGACAATATTAGGACTGGGATGTCTGGGTTTATTAGATCATGAGGAAGGAAGCCTAAGGAATGGCATTAGCATACTTATATAGAAGAAAGAGAGGCAGGCCACAAGCGGTACTTCTTCCTTTCCAGAATATAAGGACATAGTGGGATGACACCATCCATAAACTAAATGGTGAGGACCTTGTGTCAGCTGACACATGGACTTCCCAGTTTCCAGAACTGTGAAAAGTAAATGTCTAGTGTTTATAAGCCATTCAGTTTGTAGTACTTTGGTATAGCACCTTAAATAATTTAAGACTCTCTCTCAAATCTCTGCTCAACATTTATAACTCTATTGCAAGGGCAGAGACTGTTATATTCATTTCTGTTATCTAGTATGTGTGATAAATACATATTTTCCCTAATAAATAAATTTTATTAATATTATTAAATATATTAAATATAAAAATAATAAATTCCCTTAGAAATGAAGAAGTCAAATAGTAGTTCTAATTTTTAATAAAGTAGACTGCAATAAGATTTAACATTTTGTCATTATCCCATATATAATTAACTTTCAAAAAAGAGACTTAATTCTATTAAAGTTATCTCACTTTAACCACAGTTCTTTGCTAGGCAATCCGAAATTAAACCAAACCAACAATACAACTAAGAGTGAGGAACCTATGTCACAGAAGGTGCAGAGCAAGGCTAGACACTGGCATGTTGATTCACTCTAAGGGAATCCTCCCAGGGCAGCAACACAACTAGACCATTAGCAGCAGTTCCCCTGAAACCCTTGGCTGTAACTCTACTGCCTGAAAACAAATAGTTGCAGAGTAACTCACTTTTCTTTTCCCACAATGACAGCTGACTTAAATCAGGAAGAAGTTCTGTAGCCAAACAGTTCAATCTTAAAAGGGCGAAGTTTCTTGTGAGTAAAGGGATGAACTAGAGTCAAAAAATGGCACTCATGCTTTCTTATTTCATACTTAGATATGTGCTAATGTGATTGAAAACTGAGTTTTTCATTATTTCATTGTTAAAAATTTCTACATACACAAATGCATATATGTGTGCAATATAAATATAGTAATATGAATGTATATTTCACTCAACCTATCATATGATACCAATGATTTTGAAATCCTTTTTCTCTCATTTCCATTTTCCTCTCTCTCCTAGAATTAAAGACTTTTACTTACTAGATGCTTTTCTTTCCTGGTGGTAGTAGAATGAACGAACCCAGGGACTTCACACTGAGCTTCATCTCCAGTTCTACTTGTTTATTTTGAGATAGGTCCTCCTCATTAAGTCACGCAGCTTGGGCTCAAACTTTCCATCCCCTTGCCCCAGCCTCCCAAAGTGCTGGAATTATAGGCATGCACCACCATAGCCAGCTTATTGTCTATTTTGAATTATTACTGATAAAATCAGAATGGATGGGCTATGTGAGAAAGACACTTTTGTATAAAGCCTCTAAATTCTAAGAATTGTTTCTTATAGTGAAAATACAGAAATTGATAACCTAAATTTAACTGTTGCCTAAACAAAATACTAAAACAAATGGCATTAACTGAGCAGGTCTGCAGTGGGAAGCAGACAAACAAGACTTGGAAGCATGAGATCCCTAACTGCCATCACAGACCAAGTGCTCACCAAGTCTATAGGTCAAATAAAAGATGATAGGAAAAAAGCACCAACAATAACATGCTATTGGGTACCTTTGATAAGGAGGAGGAAATATATGAGCTTAGGATATAAACAAGCAGTTTGCAAAGAGAAATAGAATTAAGAGAGCTCAAGGGAGAATCTATTTAGTGCATCAGAAAGGCCAACTCCCTCTAGATTCTAAAAACAAAGAAAAACTTGAAAAAGGTGTTAACAGTGAAATGTCACTAACACTCAAATGTATGGCAAAGATCAGATTATGAATGTTAACTTCACTCTCTTAACTTATTATTTGAATTCATGTGTTTTAGCCACTATTAGAAGAAATGGGTGAGCCAACTATAAAAATGATGCCATGAAATTATGATTACTATTCATGGAATGGCCTGCTATTTTCATAGAATTATAATATCTAAGAAAGCATAAACATGGATTAAAAAACTTTTTTTTTTTGTCTTTTTCCTTTTTATCGGTACCGGGGATCGAACTCACGACTACCTGCTCGCAAGCCAGGCGCTTATGCCGCTGAGCTAAATCCCCAGCCCCTCCCCCCCAAAAAAAAACTTTTTAAAAATCTGTAATGCCCCCTGTGGAAACTGAAATTGGCTCAAACAGAAAATGAGCCCTGAAAGCTGCACATCCACAATGGAGGGCATAATCCCCAATATGTACCTCAAATGTGAGCAAGATTTAAAGGCCGAGACCCCAATCAAGTGTTCTTTGCAGGAAGAAGAATCACAGACTTTTCAAGGACTCTACTCCATCCCCCAAGAAGAGAACCTTAACTGTCTGCCCACTGGGATTTCATAAACATGATGGACCAGTTATGCCATGCATTCTTCATTTTCTAAGTGCAAGTTATTCCTGGCACCCCTCCTGTTCAGATACTCTTTGGGATATCCCACAGCTCTTTAGGTGCAGCCAGTATTTAGCAGCATCCTAGAAAGATATTGATGGAAAAGCAATGATTCTCTTTAGATAAAAAACAAATCATTTTTCTAGTTATGTTCATCAGACTTGAAAATGTACTGAGTTAGAATCGATTTTAAAATATCAATTTAGATTCTGGAATCTGGAATCAGGCCAGGGTACATCACTGCCAATGGCCAAATTTATCTCTGGATAGTCACAAAGATGTTTTACTAAAAAAAACCCAAACACCTCTTAGCATTACTACAAATACTGTTTAACACAATATGATTGAACACAGCCTTACTACTTCAACAAGACTCACTCTTCAATAACTTAACATACAGACACATAGAAAAGGATTTACTTTTTATTCACACCACAATGAAAGTGTGAGTTAGCAAAATGAAAGAACTTTCGATATACAATGATTCAGAGATCTGAGTTTCTTCAATCTCATGGGACTTTAGATTTTACTTCTAGGCCTTTCCCATAGACCCATAAAACAACTTTAGTAAAAAAAAAGGTACAACCAAGAAGAATCATCTGGGAGATTTATTTGGGCTAGTCACAGAAATGACACTATCTTATGCTTAGAGTATATTAGCCTGAAGTGAGTCACATGATCACACTTAGCTACACATCATTTGACACAGCTATTTCATTAAACACGATTGGCACAAACTCCATGTTACTAAACAGTGTTTCAAGTACATATGACTAAACAAAGCAGCCTGTATACCACACACTGGTAAGCAAAGTGCTTCACACATGTAAAATGTATCCTAGTTGTGGGTTCTATAGGAAAAAGGACCAGTTTGGTGCCATAGTCCATCAAGTTTACCACCATTATAGCCTTTCATTTTTTCTTCCCAGACTATAGTTCTCAAGGAAAACAAGACAAAGTCCTGTCTAGTAATTTTATCCAACATAAAAATTATGATTAAAGTGAACATCATATTTTTAGGCAGTAACATAAAGAAATGTAGCAGATGCAGAGCAAAATGGATTTTAAAACACTTTCTTTGCTGTTTTATACTTTAGATAGATCCTTTACTTCTGGCCTTGAAATGGGCAATATTTATCCTTTTGTTATGAAGTAGTAAAAAAATGGACCAAAAAATAGCTGAAACGATGGCTTGCAGACATTGAGAAACATGAACCTAAGTCAGCAAACCCTACCACCACTCTAGATTTCTGCCTAAAGATACATTATAAACAGCAGCGCACAGAAGCAAGTACCAGGCAAGGGGAAATAGTTTCACATAGTTGAGGAGACAGACGCTGGAATTGAAGAGGGAGGCTGAAGTGGCTAAAGCTTAACAAAAGAAAGATCTATACAAAAGAGAACCTTAGCCAGACATGGTGTCACATACATCTAATTCCCAAACTCTAGGCGGCCAAGGCAGAAGGATTCCGAGTTTGAGCCCTGTCTTCTAACAACACAGACTTGGCAAGAACCTGTTTGAAAATAAAAAAGGGATGGGAATGAGCCCTTGGGTTCTGTCCCCAGTACAAACAACAACAACAACCTCATAGAACTCAAGAAATCTGCACAGGCTCCCCTGAGTCTCGGGCACACAAGCACAGAGTGAATTCCCAGGTAAAGCATAGTGCCCACGCTGGCCTGGGAGGCATTCAAACTCCACACGGCTAGAGCTAGCTAAGTGCTCTTCTGGATCACTCCGGATGTTCAGTAGAGATTCTGCATGAGCTATGCCTTATTAATGGGACTAAAGTACCTCTGAGGGAAAAGTTATTCTCCATCCAATAAAAATTTGAACAGATTAAGCCAAAATACAAGTAATTTAGCTGCATGTAAGAGCAAGCCCAATAAAACTTATAACCAGTATAAAATTACCAATGTATAGCATCTAATAAAACACTGATATAAAAAGCAGCAGAAAATTAGAACTAAAACCAGGAGAAATACGTCACTGTAAACAGACCAAAAAATGACACAGATAAAGAAATTAGCAAATAAGCATGGTGAAAGTTATGCCTATATTAAAAAAGAAACAAATACAACAATACAAACTAACCTATCACAGATTAAAGTGGAGAAGAGGTGGGAGACAAAAAAGGAATATAAAAATGGCTCCAAACTTCCAAGTTAGATAGATCTGTAACCTACAGATCCAAAAAGCTTAAAGAATTCATGCAGCAAAAATGGAAAGCCACACTGAGGCTCACTGTAACCAGTTCCTAAAAACCAACAGTGGAAAGAAAATCTTAAAACAAGCCAGTTACAAAAGATACATCTTTACCGAGGAAACAAAAAAGTCACAAAGCTCATCAGAAACTATGCAAGCTGTATGACAAATGAACAGCATATTTTTTGTTGTCTTAGTTTTATATTTTCAGAAAAATTACAAAGGTAGAGAATTCTCAAAAATCCTCCACTCAGTTTCCCAAATAGTTTACATCTAACATATCTGACAGGTTTTATCAGTTAGAGTTCACTAGCAGAACAGAATTAATATAAAACATATATATGATATATAAAGAATTTACAAGATAGGCTTATAATGGCTTCCTGGGGAGTTATGTGTGGAAAAATGCAAAAAGGTCCTCCACATTCTGGGGTGCTGAAGGATTCAGTCAAAAGTCAAAGGTGTGGAGTTCACTGTAGATTCATTGAGTCTGGGTCAGGAAGCAGGCGGCTGAAGGGTCTGTGCTGGAAGGCTGAAGAGTCACTGGAAGCCTGGAGACAGTTGTCCCAAGACAATGGTGAACACTACAGCTTCTCCAAAGAAGCTTAATTGAGACTTCCTTCCTCTTTCCCTTTTTATTCCACCAAGCCTACAAATCTATTGGTTGGTGCACCCATGCCCAGGGTGGGTCTGCCCTGCTCAGTAAGTCAGTCATTCATATATACCCAGAACTGTGCTAAACCAATCTGCCTAGGTGTTTCTTACTCAAGGTGACAACACAGTTAACTATTACTTGTGGTCACAATACATTTGCCACAACTAAGAAATCAAAAGTGGTCTATTGCTATTAACTAAACTTTATTCAGATATGAGTAGCTCTTTCAGTATTCCATTCATTGTACCTAGTAACCATATCTCAATCTTCTCTGGCATATGTTGAATGGCATCTTTAAAGTACTGAAAGACTAAAACTATCAATCTATTATTTTCTCTTTTATCAAAGATATGAATCCTCCTTCCTATCCCTGGAGTCATCAATTAAGCTCTATTCCTTTACCCTTGTAAAGGAAATCACTACAGTAAATTGTACATTAAATATAATCATGCAAAGCTGCTGCTGATTTTTTTCAAATAACATAGAAATTCATTACAACTGAATGTCAACCCATTAGATTGTTAAAGGATCCATGTTAAAGGCTGAAGTTTAAGTCATGTTGAAGGGAGGTCTTCAAGTGAGGAAAATAATGGTAAATAGTGGCATGGATCTACACAAAGGAATAAAGAATGATGGAAGTGATAAATATGAGTAAATATAAATTTAAATGGATGGATTTCCAGGGCAAGTTATTGTAGTTTATTAGAATGAAGGGTTAGTGTTTAAAAAATTGATAGTAGTTATACCTCACATTGAACAGCTTATAACAAGCTTCATACACAGTATCTTTATAAAAATATATAACATGGTATTATATTACCCATGTTTTAAAGAATTTACTGAAGCAGAGGGCTTATAATTAGATAGTGAGGAAGCCTACATCTTTTGGTATTATAAATAATAGTGATTAAATGATTGGCTTTCATTTTCTAAAATGCAGAATTTCTCAGAATAGATTTTGGAAAGTATAATTGTTGAGTTGCTGTATAAACATTGTGTATTCAATTATATAGTCAAAAGAATTATATTTATTTTGCTACCAACAATTAGAACAATTTTTGACAGCTGTTAGCATTAAAAATTATTTTTAGAAAATCACTGTTGATTTTACAAATGAAAAGTGGTTCCTAGCACAGCAGCACAGTGCCTGCCCTGCAGTGTGAGGTCCAGTTTGATTTCACATACAAAAAAAAAAACCCAAGAAGAAAAAAAAGAAAATAAAAGAGAGAGAAAACTAATTTAAATTTCACAAACTATCATTAGTAATTAGTAATGTTATACTGATTTTTTTATTTATTGGCTATAGGTAAAATGTTTTTGAAAACTCATATGTACAGCCTATCTGATTCAGCCCATATATTGCAATCAAGACATGTTTTAGGAAGTTAGTTTTGTCTCTAGTTATCTGATAAGTGAGCAGGGAATCACAGATCTTAGCATCTGAAAGAATGTTGGCAGTCAAGCCCAAACTTCCACTGTCATAAGAATCCTTTGTGGAGTATTCAAGGCCTTTGCAGTATCTCAGTGATGATTTATTACTATTGAGCAGTTTTCCAGAAAAATAATACTTTCCCAGTAACTAAGATAGTAAATATGAAATTGTTTTGATAAAGTTAAAAGGATATAATAAATCTAAGACTTTTCTAACTTATAGATCATATCAGTTGGATTTTAACAGTAGAATGTGTCAGTAATGATATAATCTCATATTTACATGCTTTATTTTTTTAAAGATATTTTCCATTCCTCAATCAGACTTAGTAATTTTAGTACTACTTTTATTATTCTAATATATTATACTCTATTAAGTACAAAGTATCTCAGCATTACTGTTGCCATAATTCTTTTATTCTGGAATTTGAAAATTCAAAAGTGAACTTACATATTAAGAATCTGTAATTCAAGTATTTTATTGTAAGAAGACATATATGTGCTCCATAAGTCTAGCTAGCTACTCACTTGTGTCCATGGCAAGAAAATTTTTAAAACTAAAAAATTAAATAGAAGTATCAATAAGCTCCTGTTGCAAGAATAACTTAGTCCCAAAGAAAAAAACTGATAAAGTTGCTTTGTAACCTCTAGACATAAATGACAGAACTAATAAAGATCATGAAAGATAGAAATAATTTAAAACAAAAACTACGTAGCTTTTTATAAATTAAAAAATCTAGTTCCAGTCAAAAATTAAGAAGTGTCTTGTAAATATCTTTACAAGATTATTAAGCAAGAGATGGAATTAGTCAAAGGTAAAGACGTCAAAGTAAAGTACTGGGAATTAGCCTATAGATATTTCTTCATTACTATTCTAACTAGTGTAGTTCTTGAAAATGTTGGAAAATTCTGCTCAAAACTATGCTCTTGACTGAATCATAACACTACAGATGGTGAATTTAAGGTCGCATTTTAAAAACAAGGATTTCATAATATTTATCTACTAATATACAGTACAATACTAATGTATTTCAGCATGTTTTTATAACAGCTTCATTGATGTATAAATCACAAAGAATACAATTAGCCTATTTAAAGCATACAATTCATTGATTTTCAGAATATTCACAGAATTGAGCAACTGTCATCACTACCAATTTGAGAACACTTTCAACACCCTCAAACACAAAATCACTGTATCCATTAACAGTTTTTCCCTTCATCAGCGCAACCGCCAGCCCCAGGGAGATCCTAAATTACTTTCCATCTGTATGGGTTTGCCTAAACAGTTCATAAAAGTTCCATCTGTATGGGTTTGCCTATTGTAAACAGTTTATATAAGTAGCATGATACACTATGATGTCTTTTGTCCGTGAATTCTTAGGATAATGTTTTCAAGGATTATCCATGTTACACCACATAACAGTACTTCATTCGTTGGAAAAATAATCTCCATGGTGTGGATATATCATGTCTTAGCTCTTGATGAACATCTGGGTTGCCCTCTTTGGCTATTATGATTTCTTGTACACATTTTTATGTGGACATTTTCTTCCATTTCTCTCAAACATAGGAGTGAAAAGCTAGGTCATATGGTTATTCTCTGTTTAACCATTTGAGGATCTTACAGTTTTCCAAAACTGCAGTACCATTTTTACATCTCCATCAGTAACATATGATTTTCTCCATATCTTTAACAATACTTACTATTACCTTTTTTAAATTCTGCTTTAGTAATTTCATAGTCCTTTTATTTTATTTTATTTTATTTATTTTTTTGTCTTTTTCCTTTTTATCAGTACCGGGGATCAAACTCACAAGTACCTGCTTGCAAGGCAGGCACTTATGCCGCTGAGCTAAATCTCCAGCCCCTCATAGTCCTTTTAAAAATATTTTTAAATTTTGAGGCAGGGTGCCTAGGTAAAACTTAAACTTGCAGTCCTCCTGCCTCAGCTTTCCTAAGTGCTGGGGTTACAGGCATGACCACTTATTTTTAATCATTGAAGCAGGAGGATCACAAATTCGAACCTGAGCAACTGAGTGGCTTAATGAGATGTCTCAAAAATTATAGAAAACAAAAAGGCTGACGCCTAAAACAGTTCTAGCCACATTAACATCTGAATGTGGAAGAGTCTCTATGATAATATGTTCAACTAATATAACATCCTAGTGGTTGAAATAAATGCTTCTCAATCTAATTTCCATAATAGCTTAGTTTTATATGCAAGAAACAAACATTTTTCATTGGTAATTGTAACTGCTATAATATTTAAATTATCAGTTTGCTGCTTATGCTTGGAAACCTGGTATGGACATGAAAATTTAGTATTTGTCTAGCAATATAGGTCATAGGACTTGATATCTACAGTGAATTTAAGAACAGGAAACAGATTTCCATGCAATCCCAATGCAGAATAACTTACAGGAAGTTGCTTTATATTTCTCTGTACTACATTCTAAAGTCATATAAAGAAGTATTTGACTATATGTAATATATGCAATCTTTCTTAAGAAATACCTGTAGAGGTACTGTAGTTATAAAAATGCATGTGGTATTTGTCACTGGTTTCAGTGCTGGTATTCATTACTGAACAAAGTTTAGGTTTAGTTCTAGATTTAGGTAAAAAACAAAACATTATGTAAAAGCTATTATCTCTGTGTGACTTCTGGAAATGTAAAGTCCAATAATTCCACATTTTAAGATGTACAAGTACAATATATAGGTACATTCCAAACTAAGATTATTACAAAAACTGTCTAAATGATAAAAAAAGTCTGAGCATGAATAAAACATCCAATAAATTGTATAGATGATAAAAAACTCTTATCCTCATTCTATCTCTATATCTAGACTTGAGTACTGTGACACTTATGAAAACTACACCATCCTTGTGAACTAATGATCATAAAATGGTTTAAATCAGTAATTTCAGTGGTAGGACCAGGTGATTGAACAAGTAGGGGCTTTCAAAAATGGTAAGAAAACAGAAGTTATATATTTTGCCTTTGTCCTTTTACAGGTATGGAAAATGAAGACAAAGAGATGGAACTTGCCTAAGATCATCTAAATTTATGGTAAAATGGGAAATAGAAGCAGCTGATTCATGACTGAAGATTGTTCCCATAATACCATGATATCTCAATCAAAATTTAATAAATTTTTGGTTTGCAATTTTGTTTAAACTTTAAAGTAAACAACTGAGCATGCAAAGTGCAAGTTTTATAAACTCACCTCTTTAGCTGACAAACCAATATAATAGTAATGTTACTATTTGAGAAAAACACAAATATACTATTAAAAATAATTGTAGTGATGCCAACCTTCAAGTTTCCTAATATATATTTAAAAATCACAAGAAATTCTATTAGATATTTTAGGATTACTCGAGAAAATTCCATTCTTGCAGACGAGGGAGTAAACTTCTGTAAGAACTAAAGAGAAACTTGGCAGCTCTTATCTTTTTCATTCCCTAAATAATACACTGAACATTAACTTCACACGATGAATAATATACATTAAAAAAGAGAAGGAAAAAACTGAAATCCCTGCAGTTCTGAAATCACTGATTAAGTTTTGGAAGATGACTTGATCTTGTAATCTTTTTTACTGCTCCTCTCTTTGCATTCACAGTCTTCTGATTAACTGGATTGCATCTTCCCCTGAAATAAAATAAGCATTGATTATAATCTTTCAATCACAATTGTTATGTTTTACATAAACATTATATACTATATTTAGAAAACTGTATGTTGTACTTAGTTCTTCAGTCCAGTTTTTTATATAGAAATCTTTCTGTGCATATTTTCTGCTTACTGTGCATTCTTAAGCAGCTTTGTTTGGTCAGCTTTCCTTTGCTGGGGCAAAATACCTGATTATAATTTAAGAGGGCAGAGGTTTACTTTGGCTCACAGTTTCAGAGGTTTCTGTCCATATTTATTTATGGAGGAAGTGCATGGTGGAGGAAAGTTGCTCAACTCATTGCATCTCAGAAGTAGAAAGCAGAGAAAGAGCCCAAAAAGAGTCAATAAAGTTTGGAAACTGAAAGAGTTTTGGCCCAGACAGGACACTGTAGCTGGTAAAGCCAAGGGGTCCTATCTTCCTCCACCCCTAGGAGTCTTCTCTGGCGCCAAGCTAGTGCCAATGGGCTACCTGTGCATCCCTAATGCCCCCTCAGGCACCACCCCTAACCTAAGCTACATATAGGTCCCCACTCCACGTGTTCCATGGAGAGATTGCCAACGGGGTGGAGATGCCACACCCCAGGGGGTCGGGGGTGTCTCTCCCTGCATTCTCAAAATAAAGGTCATTTATATTTCATACTTCTTTTCAGCTGCTGCTGGTCCCCCACAGTTCTATCAGAAACCATTTTAGCTGAGTATTAAAGTTTATAATTAAATGAGAGTAGCTAGACTCCTTGCAATATTATATAAAAATAAAACTCGTAAAGATTTGTCATTTGCAGTTTCAGACTGTCATGTTTTTTTCACAATGTTTTGTTACTCTGCCAATTATTTATACCCAATAAAGCACGATACACCAAAGAGTAATGATTATAGCTGATGTTTATTGAACCAGAGGTTTTTTAATAACCTGGAATTTTCATACCAACCATTCAATTTGGATTTCATCATCCTTATTTTGTAGTTAAGTAAAATGACCAAATCTTCCCACTTTAAAAAACACTCTTACTTGTTACAAATATTTACACTGTTATTTTTTACTTTGGACTTCTGTAAGATACCACAGGATGGATTTATTTTATTTTTCTCTTTTAATATAATTAAAATTGATTTTATTTTTTCAATCAGTAGTTGTTTATCATCCAGGTAAATAACTAATTTCAAATTATACATAATCCTATAGAAAATAAATACTAACATGTATAAATCAAAGCCATCTATAATCCCAAACTACTTTGTATCTTTTTACTACATAGGTAGGTATATTTCTGTATCAGTTTATGTATGCTTCTAGAATCTAATTTTTACAGCTCTATAATATTGTAATAGACTACTGAATTATTTCCCTTATTGTTGGGTCTATTGGTTGTGTTTTCTTTACTCTGCTTTTTTTTGTATCAAAAGGAGGTTTCTCTAATAATCTCCCTCTTAATGAGTCCTAAAATTAACTTCTAACAGATGCTTTTATCTTAGGCCAGTAAAGACTATATTTTTCCCCTCTAGAGCCTTTAGTTACTCTGTAAAACTTTTCTTAAGTGAAAAAATGAGGCTGAATGCTAAAGAAAAAATAAAGTACACAATTTGCTACTTTCAAGAAACACTGGTATGGTATCAGCTTTGAGATCCTTACCTTTAGAAATGTGATTTTCATAGTTAATACATACCACTTGTCACAGTCATTAAAGTTACATACTAATTTATGTAGGAATTTTTGGCAGCTTTCAAATCTAATCCTAATGAAAGTATTTCAACTATTTATATTAAAAGCCTTTCTTAAAAAATTAGTATATGTGAGGATCACTAGAATAAATTTTTCAATTGTTGTGTAGATAGCTCATTAATTTGTGACCATGGTTTCGCACAGTAGGAATATAACAGCCAATACTCAATCAGGCAGTACCTCTTTTAAAATAGAATTTCACATTTAGTTGATGTTTTCTAATGCTCTTATTATGAATATTAGAAACACTGCATAAGTCAATGTCTTAAGATCATCATTGGTTTATGTTGGATACTGAATATTATCTCAAGGTCCACGTGCTAACAGCTTGGTCCCACAGTGGTACTGTTGGGAGGCAATGGAGCCGCTAGGTAGGACATGATAGGAAACTCTCTGCTTACTGAAAGCACATATCTGAAGGCTGCAGTGTAGGCCCAGCCCTTTCCTCTTCACATTTGCTTCCAAGCTTGTGACGTATGTGATTTTGCTCTGCTGTGTGCTATCACTGTTATGTGCTGCCGTGCCACAGATCCAAAATAATTGGAACCAGTTGATTATAGACTGGAGCTGCCAAACCTCTGAGCCAAAAGAAACCTTTTCTCTTAGTAAGTTAGCTGTCTTGGGTATTTTGTTGTAGACAGAAAGTTGACTAATGCAAGCACATATGAAAAAATCAACTAGTGTAAACATTAAATGTCATTGATAATTAAACTATAAATGTATACTATTTATAAAAATGTAAGAAACGTAAACTTACAGATCTATGAATTGTAATAAAAGAAATGCTCACGTAACCACCCCCCAGGTTAACAAAATACTGCCATCAAAATTCCCTCATGACTTTCCCTTACTATTCCCTTTCTCCTTCGTATTTATCATTGATGTGTATTTCAGTTTGCTTTTAGCTGTTTTGAAGTTTATGTGAATGGAAATGTATATTGCCTTCCATTTATGATTTCTTTTACTAAAAGCAAAGAATTATCCATAATGTTATGCAAGCTGTGGTTTTTTATTTTTTATTTTTTTGTTATTTATACAGGAGACAATTTGAGTGACTCGCCTTGAATGCAGAACAAGTGCTGAGACTTTGATTAGATCGAGACTTATTTTCATGTACTGATATGTACAGAGCTGACTATGATATTTCCTTCTGTCTTCAATTGCCTCTAAGCATTGCAAATAAGACTAGCCTAAGGTACTGGTATATAATCTCTAAAGCCATCAGACAGTCTCCTGTTTCCCCACATAGTGCTCTCTGTAAAGGATATGAGCATAACAGGATGGTAGAGCCAGTCAGCTCCAGTAATGTCAACTGGGTATGAGTCTCTAGATAAAAAAGGCTATGAGTTCCCAGGACACAAAAGTTTACACATCAGAAACTGAAGCAACAGCCTCCGAAAACAATTCAGTTGCTACCTTAATTGTATTATGCAGGGTGATCCTTCTCTGTCATTCTCCCTGCATTTTGCAAAGATGCTTTTCTCCCTACCTGGCTAGCCAGTTCAAACTACTCACGTAATTCCAGCCATCCTCACTGCTACTCATGTGCCAGCCACCCCTTTATTTACAAGATAATAAATTCTAGGAGAGGCCAAGGATCAGGGCCTAGGACCCCCTGGCTGCCCTTAACTTTGAATATGTCTTGGTGTCTTTACTCTCGCTGTATGTTGCATTGCAGGTGGTAGATTGAAATTAATTTACTGGGATTCCAATCATGTATCAATGGGATTATAAATATAACTTTTTGGACTTTGAGGATGACAGAGAAAAAAATTACAATACTTAGATTACAGTACTCTATATTTGGGATTATAATAATTTACATATTGTATATATAAATATATAAAGATTCTATTCATTCAACCATTAATGAACATTTAGGTTATTTTCAGTTTTGACTGTTTATGAATAAAGCTGCTACAAACATTATTCACAGGTCTTTTGTTGTAAGTGTATACATCATTCTGTTTGAAATATAATGGAGTAGAATTTTTGAGTCACTGAGGTGTATGATCAGCTAAATATAAAAATTAATGCTAAATGGTATTCCAAGGTGGCTATGTAAATTTACACTCCTTTGAGCAATGTTTAAATCCTTTATTTCCACACATACTTGCCATATAGTCATCAATCCTTAAAATCTGTGGTTGTATCTCATGATTTGCATGTGTGTTCTGTTAATGAGTACCTTCTTATGTGTCAATCATTTTTATACCTCTTCTGTGAGGTATTCAACAGCAAAACTTGGTTTTAGGCCTCAAATTTGAATCATCAATAAAAGAACTTCCGGATTTAAGTCAGTGGTTCAGCAGAACAGTATTTTAAAGTAGCACCAATTATACAACTAATTTGAAACAGTTCAAGTACAGAAATGTCTCTGTTCGATGAGCTTTGGGTTATAGTTTCAGAAAGTAAAGGACTTTTTTGTTCATTTGTTTGACTCATTTACTCAGTAATTCACTAAAAACTTATTTATTGTATACCAATTGATGCTTGGCACTGCAGTCAAATTGGGTTTAATTAAAAATAGCAGTAATAGATTTGGGATTAAGCAGGAACTGTGCTGAAGGACATGAACCAGCTGAATCAGAGAAGTGATCCCAGACTGTGTCACACACCTCTTTGTACCAGCACCTTAAACTCTGTTCAGACCTGTGGCATGGAGGGACCCACAGAAAAGCTAATCATCAGACTGACATACAGCTGCAGCCACATAAGGAGGAAGCAGGAATGTGCCTGGCACAGGTGATCCACTCAGATATCCTTTCATAGTAACTTGCCAAATTTTGGTGGTAAGTGGACAAAGGCACTAGGCATGGTCTAGAAAGGATGTGGTAGACAGGGGCTCAGATTCCACGGGGATACGGATCTGGCCATTCAAACAGGAAAAGAGAAGTCTACACTTGGGTCATGAATGAACCAGCTTGCTGTGTAGACTGTAGCTGCACTACTCTTCCTGCTCAAACATCGGTATTTTCCTTCCCTTGCAGATGTTGATCCTATGAATGCTGTAGTAATAAACTTCTTCATGCTGACTCCCATTTAAGAGTTGATGTCTGTGAGAAATCCAACCTATAATAGTATTTAACAGAAAACTATACGATATATATATGCATATAATTAGAATGAAGGTTTATTTGCAAAATATTTTCATTCACTATGTAAGCATATTTAAAGAAAAAGTGTAAATTTTTAAAAGACAAATTTTAAAAGACATAATAGATTTAATAGAGAAATTCTTTTTCTAACTTACTTTCAAATTTTTAAAATTTGAAATAGAATATAAATGTAAAAATTAAAAATTAACTAAGATGGTTGTTCAAAAGAAAGTTAATATAACAGGCTTATTGTTGTTTAAAAACTACTTATATGGTTAGCCCTTGGCTGATGTAGAAATTTAATAGTTAAGTATTTCTTACCCTGATATAAAATTTTCTATAAATTTTAAGAATATCTTTCTGTGTCTACCCTATTTATATTAATAGAATGCTTTGTTCTGAATACCTGTTTACCTTCTGGGAGTTTGGAATTTGATAGGTGCTATGTAGAGATTATGTGATCCACCCTTGATTAAAAAAACAACCTTGGGTACTGAAAATCTAACAAGTTTTCTGAATCAATAAAAGTTCATGTGCTGTCACCTGTTGTCGTAATTCATTTCTGAAGGAGTTAAATGGCTCTATAGAAGCTTGCACCTAGATTCCTTAAACTTTATCCTATGAGCCTTTCCCTTTGCTACTTTTAATTCATATCCTTTCTGTGAATACATTTTAGTCACGAGTACCAATATACTGAGTCCTACAAGTCTTTCTAGTGAGTTAATGAATATGAGAGTGGCATTGAGGTAACCTGAACATAGTAGCATAATAGATTTAATAGAGAAATTCTTTTTCTAACTTACTTTAATAATTTAAACTGCATTATATATCTAAAGATGAAAGTGCATAAAGATATAAATATTTTAATTCACTGTCTTTAGGTACTTATTACCTCAAAAACTGGTCAAAATGTTGCCATATCATTAATCTCTAATTATTCTCTCCTACACAATTAATTAACCAAAGAAACTTGCTACACTGCATATCCCATGAGGACCTCTTGCCTTAACTTGAACTTGAAAATGATTCTCATTTATAACTAATTTATGTATCAATTTAAATCTTAGTATTAAGTTATATGTGAATATATATCTCTAAATAGGAAGTTATACAAAATAAAGAATATCTGAGTAATTCTTCTATACTTAGTACAGAATCAGTAAAAACTGTATAGATATAACCTCCTAAACCTCTGTTCTTATCCTATATTGGTTTTGTTTATAAATAAACAATCTATATTGTCATTTACTTTTAGTGTCTCCTGCAATGAAAATACATCATACATCTTTACTAAAAGTTTAAGAATAACATTTTAATTGTAATATAATGTCAATAGTATAGTTGTAAGCTCTCCTTGGGTAATGCACTGGTTTAACTTGAAAAATAATATCTTACCATAATGTGAGAATTGAAAATGTTTCTGGAATCTAAAAAAAGTATATAAACAGTGACCAGAGACCACAAAAAAACTTCTTTATGTTTTCTTATGATCTATGTTGCTATAAAATCTACTTCCAAACTATAACAGACACCTGTTTTATCAGTACCATTTATAAACAAATGCAATTAATTAGAAAGAAAAGATACAGCTAGACTTACATTTTTACTAGATTCTCTTTCATTCGAGGCAGTTGTTCCATCTGTTGCCTTTTAGAAACTTGATGTGAGCCAGAGCCCTGAAATTATAAAAAGAAAACCATGGAGTTTTATTCATTTATTTCATGATTGATTTCAGCAATAAGAGGAACAGTTGTTCTCAATTAACTCTTTCACAAGCAGACTCTTTAATAGTATATGTAAGAAGCAGAAAAATAGTGGGAAATTTTGGCCTTCTTCAGTGTAATCAAGCTTTCATAGAGCCTGGAAATCAGCCCCAAAGTCCATGCAATTTTAAAAAAATGGAGGAAACTATGAAACTTGTATTGTCCATGTGGTTTAGGTCATTAGAAGATTTTGTAGAAGACACTACACAGGAATCATGCACCTTGCTGTTAGGGTAGATAAGATGACTGTTTCATCTAAGTAGTACCAGTAGGTGTAGTGAGGCAGAAATGTATATAATAATTTTATTTTTGTCTATTTTGAAATTCTTCCCAGTATGAAAGCAGAGACTTCTTGTGGATGGTGTAACTATAATTTATAAAACAACAACAGAGGTTGATCACCTTAGAGATGGAATTTGAAGCCACAAATGAATAAGATCATTCATTAAGGGCACACAGAGAAGTAAGAGAATTGATGATACAAAACTGGGAAAACAACTTTTAAAGGTAACCAACCCATCAAACATAGGACCACCATTTAAACAACAGGAACTCCTCCACACACTTACTGTTGTGGAAGTCAAGTGTGTATGTGGGGACAGGGTAGTATTCAATCAAAGAAGTGAGCCTGATCAACAGGGTAAAATGCCTCAGAAATGAATTCTTAAAGAGGAGCCACTGTATGCAGCTATTAAAAAACAAAAAATAAAAGCACATTATATGCATGTGTAGAAATTTCACAATGAAATCCATTAATTTATACAATTAATAAGCACTAATAGTTACTTAGAGAGTTGAGGGAGTAGGCTGGAGCACAATGGTGGAGGTAAAAACAATATGAAAAGAGGTCAGAGTGAAAGGCAAAGGTAGCATTATCCACATTTTCATGAAATTTGGCTGAGTAAAAGAAATCTTAGGCAACAGTAGTTTTATGAGAATGGCTGAACTACGTAGCCCAGGCTGGTCTTGAACTCAGGGCCACAGCCTCCTGTTTTAGCCTCCTGAATTCTGTGATTACAGGCATAAGCTACCACATTTGGCTGGACTGCTTTTTCTTTATAACAGATAAGCAGCTGGGCAGGTGGTATAAGACTATAATACCAGCACTCTGAGAGGCTGAGGCAAGAGGATCATAAATTCAAGATTCCATCTCAAAAATTCCATCTCAAAAAAAAAAGTGGGGTAGACATGTAAATACAAAGGCCTGATTTCAATTCCAAGTAGTACAGAAAAAGAAAACAAAAAACATGAGTAGTATATAAAGATATGGATATATTTGAAGGCACAAAGGAGAATGATAAGATTTCATCCCTGATAGATCTCTTTCATCATGTAAGATATTAAGTCATTGCTAAGTAACAGGTTTGGGTGTTTTAGAGCAAAAAAATGGAATTTGCTCATTCCTTCATTCACTCAGTAAATGTTATTGAGCATGTGTTACCATTACATAAAGGAAAGAATGCCAAATACAACTCAAGGATCTGTTGGGGGAACAGTGAAAACCATAGAAGATTACAATGAGGGCCTTGATTAACATGCAGCAGATACAATTAATTCAGGTATAGTGCTTTATAAATATGCAGCAGATATAACTAATTCTGGCTCTGCATAGAAGAGTAAACATTTAAGAACTAAGGAAAGAATATTCTAAGTACAAGGAACACCAAGAGTCTCAGATATAAACCAGCAGGAATTAGCATAACCTTAGATATGGCTGTAGCAGAAGATGTAACCAGGGATAAGTCTACAGAAAGGGGAACAGACATGTCAGAAAGGACCTTGCAGACCACACTAAAGAGCACTGATGTCATCATCTGGACAATGCATTTTGAAGGGTTTGTTTTTGTACCAGGGATCAAATTCATGTGCTTACCAGGCATGTGCTGTGCTAAGCTATGTTCCCAGCCCCATACTGAAGGTTTTAAATCCACATCACAGCATGTGCATCAAACTTTGATAACTCACACGTCAGAGAAGAAAACTGAGTGTGATGGAGGCAAACCTCTGTCAGCTCTGTTACTGAGACTGTGTCTCAAGTGCTAGATTTAAACATGAGGAATTCCATTGTAAGATTAACAATAAAAAAAAGAGAATTATCCAAAGGCAACAGAAATGAGTGGATAGCCTAGAACCTGGGTCACAAGAACGGCTACATTGGTAATTTGACAGTTTAGATTAGAAACAAAACAAAATAAAAAACTATGGGAAGACTGAGAATTTGTTTCTAAACCTTTGAAAAAGTTATCATGGAGAAAGAGGAATATACATTTGGTTTGTGTTCCAAAACCAATAGATGTTAAGGATGTTTAAGAAAGGAGAATAAGGACTATCATGCAATATACTAACAATTCTGGCAATCAGAACAATGACAATGTAACAGAACTATCTCAGGTCCTTTTTCTGTAAATCTGAAGCATTATATGCCACGATCTCTCAAATTAATTGCTAAAGTTCTGTATTTCTGGGAACAGTATCTAAATCTTAAATTTCTCAGTCAGGCAGTATATCTAAATTCTCAAAAAGCAGATTTTCTACTCCATATACACTGTGTAAATCAGAGGAATCCACAGAAGGAGAAATTTAGTTTTAGTCAAAACGGTGCATCAAGACTGATACAAAATCACATACAGCAACAGAAGTATAAACAGCAGATTCAGCAAATAGCTTTAGTTATCTACCAGAGACTCAATTATTTATGTAGTCAGCAAAGAGAGAACTATAAATCATTCATTAACCTTTCCAGTCTCCATAGTATCTGCCTGATCAGAACTGTCTTTGACTACAGAGATTAACAATTCACTCTAGAGTGACAATCCTTATTAACATTTATACAGGAGACAGTATTAACATCTTCCAGAGAATCTGTGAAAACCGACTTTGATTGTATAGTCAGTAATCCTGTAGAGCCAGAGTAGGATTAGCCCACCTAAATGAATTTTTCAGATAAACAAAGGTAACTCAATGTGTCAAGGGCAAAAAATTTTACTTTTAACCTTAAAAATATCATTCAGTGGAGTTTGATATATAGATCACTTTTTCTCTCTCCCCTCTTCTCCTCCCCCCCTCTTCTTGTCTGTCTGTCTGTCTCTCTCTCTCTCTCTCTCTCTCTCTCTCTCTCTCTCTGTACCACGAATCAAACTCAGGACCTTGCCCTTGCCAGGCAGATACTGCACCATTGAGCTATATCCTTGGCCTCAATTATTTTTTCTTAATGACTTGGGCGTCACATTATCTTCATAAATTTTATATTACATTCAGTTTGGTAAACAGTTTTAAACATGACTCTATGTCATTCTTTGCGCTAAGTGTTGCAAGAGTCAGGCCCCCAAACTGACCCCAGGGAGGAACCAACAGCTAAATAAAACAAATGGATTTCTTGGCAAACACCAGGAGGTAAGCAGAAATTCTGATGCCATGGCACACAGAGAGAGGCCAGTGAATTCAGAAAAGAAAAACAGGAAAATAATTCACCGTTCAGAACCTATTATGCCAGCCATTTCACTCGGTACTTCACAAGCATTACATCTAAACACTTACAGAACCCTGACAATGATACTGGTTTCAGATAATTCTTCTTTTCTATAAAAATGAGGAAAGAAATTAAGACCCAGACAAGTCACAGAACAGTATGTTCAGAGTTGAATACAAACCTAATGGCCAACTCTGTTAAGTCCAAGTTTCCCTTTACTCACTGTAGCCGTAACTTTCATTTTCAAATTTTTCTACATATCACACTGCTGTCTTCCGTATCCAAACTAATTCTTCCTCTGAATTTTTTATCAATCCCTCAGTCAGTGGTGGCAAACCTTTGGAATGTGTGCCCAGTGAGCGGTGTATATCATTGAAAGTTCTAAAGGTTCACCATCACCGCCCTAGGTACTAGAGATCAGTGACTGGCAGATTGCCCTTTATGTCAAGCCTTCTTCCCTTAAGGTCCTCCCTCTCCTTTCCAACCAACTGCTTTGAGAATGCCAATCCTCATTTTTGGCTCCATTGATCATGTGAAAGTTCTTCAAATCTATACCTAGACTATCTCTTTCTGTCTTACATATTTTCCCTGATGCTACTCATTCATTCATATAATTTCACTTTCTATCTATATGCAAATAATTTCTAAAGCTCTATCTCTAACCTTTAATATTTTCAGAAGATTCATATACCCAACTACTCTTTAAACATTTCTATTTTGATACCATATGTGGAAAAATGAACTCATAGTCTAACCTAACAACATATACCAAAATAAAGTTAATATAGATTAAATATTTAAATATCAGATATTAGGACACAGAGGTAATAAAACATGGTGAATGTTATGAAATATTGAGATGAAGATAGTCTCTTTAACTATATCAGAAACTATAAATAAAAGATAGCTCTGGCAACAAAAAATTCTATAATACTGGCATAAATACACTGAAAGGCAAATGAAAACTGAAGAATACATGTATATAATTTATTGATCACTTCTGTATCCTGTAATAAGTACCCAGTTTCTACTAGTTGCCAAGTTGTGTCTACTTTAGATCTTAACACGCATAATTATAAAGTGAAGGGTCTGGAATTTCCTAATACCAAAGGAATAGAGTTATGCCTATTTGAATTTTAGTGATTATGGATGAAATTAGAAGGACATGTACAGAAGAAAATACACAAATAATCTCTTAATTAAAGAGATTGTTTTACCTCTCTTTTTTCAATTTTTGAAAAAAATTTTATTTTTATTAGTATGTGTTTGCCATACATAGTGATTACATTCATCATGAGAAACTGGCACATGCACATAACAGTATTTTAGTTCTTCATTAAAGTTAAATAGCTGGAGATTTAGCTCAGTGGCTTAAGTGCCTGCCTTGCAAGTGTGAGGTCGTGAGTTCAATCCCTGGTACCAAAAAAAATAAAATGAAATAAAGTTAAATATTTTCCTTTTGACCTTCCTTATTTAGGATCTTAGTATCTTTTCTTACAAAATTCCAACATATGTTTCTCTACCAAGCAAACAAACAAATCTAGAAAAGTGAAAAACATAATTTGCATTCAAAGTAAATCTCTAGAATCTGGATATAAAAAAGTTACCTGAGACATTTCAGCTAGGTATGTACGCCGTTCACTGCTGGTCCTCTGGTAAGCCTAGATAAAAGATAAAAAACAAAGAATCCAACATAAAAGAAGATTTTCAGTATCTGCAAGACTACTATTAAGTAGAGGTTTACTTGTCCTTTTTTTCTAAAATATTGTAATAGATATGTAACATTTTATGAAAATTAAACAATAGGTTGCAGATCACTCTAGAAATAATGGCAGATTCAAAGGGATTGTGTAATATAGAAACAAACCTTTGACTCTTGTTCCAGTCTAAGTGCATAGTGTTTTACTTGATTTTCAAGACTCCTTTTTTCTTTTTCTAGTTGTTTCAGTAATATACTTAAGGATTCCTAAAAGTATAAAGAGTAAATTTTTTTTATGTACTCATATTCTAAGCAACAGTAACCAGTGACCACCAGTGAATTTTTAATTTAATACTCTATGATTTCTTAATTATGTAATATTTAGTTTTAAAATAATAGAAAAACAAAGTATTTGTATGAACAAATTTTCTATGGAAAATGAGATAATATAGTAGCCATTGTTCATATTCTGTTATTTGGTTCTGAAGGCCCTGTAATATTTTCATTCTCTTGGAACGGTTTTATACTATTTTGTTATGTTTGATGCTATTGTATAGGAAGCTATGCTCAACTATTTCAAAGAAAGAGACATTATGGTAGCTACTGTTAATATCTGGTTGTCTTGTTGGAAGTGCTGTGTTGCTCACATTGTTCTGTTCTGATTGCTTTGTTCTGTCCTCTTTTGTCTTAATCTCTTTAAAATAAAAAAATTTTCAAAAAAAATAAAGTATTTGCTGAACTTTAATCCTATGCCATATACTATATTAAGCTTTCTATAGATATGTCATGCAATGCTTATTGCAACTCTTGTGATGGCTAATATTTATTTCCATTTTACCCTTGAGAAAATTGCAACTTACAGAGGTCACATAGCTAACCTAAAGGCAAATAGCTAATCAACTGCAGAGCTAGAATTAGAATCCTGGTATGATGATTCTAGATGTCACACAAATTACTATTATGAACTACAAATTATTAGTATGAATAATTAGTAGCCTGTATTCATTCTATTGCTACCATAGAGGTACATGCAAAGACATTAAAGACGATCCTATTGCTTACTGTAAACTAAGTCCAACTTGTACATACTAAAGAAAAGTCACTTTAGAGAACAGGTATCCACACAGAAAGAGTACACATTTGCCACACATGATAATATTCATCAAAGGAATTTGTACCTGTACGTAGTATGTTTCTTTTTTTCCCATTTCCCTCCTCTCCCTTTAATTCTTCTCCCCACCCCACTTACAAAAGCTTTGTTTCCATTTTTTCCTTACACTCTTTTTTAATCTTTTCCTTTCCTTTCTTTCTTCCTTCCCCCTTGCTTGTTCCCCTTCCTATTTGAACATGTTCTTCCTACTTCTGGATATTTATCCTTCGTTTGTTCCTTATTTACCCTTTGATTTAAAATTTTAATCTCTAAACTAATAATGGATAATTTTGTTGACTCCAATTATTTCTAATATTCATATAAATTAAACAAAAGATCTAGTTAAATTTCTTACCTCTTGTTGGCTATGATGTAGGTCACTAAATATATTAAAAGAAACACTCAAAATATTGAAGCAGCTGATTTAAATCACTGCGAAGCAAAACTAGTATTTTAGAGCTCATATCTTCCTAAATACAGTTAATTTATTAAACACTCTTAGATTATAACTACTAGAATTTTTAAAGTTTACACTGAGGATAATTAGTTCACCTAAAACTTGACAAATTCCAGTCTCTCAAAATAATTCCATCTGAAAATGCCTTAAAAATGATGATTCCCTCTCATGCATATTTGATTAACATCCTTGATAAAACATAATTGGTCATTTTTCCAGGTTGGCACTATTGTTTGAAAGTTCATTATGCAGTGGCATCATGAAAGCTTCCATCTCTCTTTCCTCAATGTAAACTTGCTCCAGAAAAAAAGAAATCAATGAAAGCAGTACGTATGCAAGAGTTTATTTTCATTTTTATTTATTTATTTTTTTTTTGTACCAGGAATCAAACTCAGGACACCTTGCACTTGCCAGACAGGCACTCATGCCACTGAACTACAACCCAGCCTCATTTGCAAGAGGCCGGGTTGATTGTAGCTCAGTCATTTTTAAACTGAGTCATTTTTATGGAAAATTAAACTCTTATAAAATAAACTGCCCAAATAAAAATAATTTTTGAAGAAATGATCATATTGTAACAAAAGTAGTTTAAAATGCTGCTCCATGGACCCTTGCTTCAAAGATTCTAAGTTTAAGGTATGACAGTTAAATAATTTATTAAATACATTAATAATTAAATAATTTATCAAATATATTTATAAATGCACAAGAAATCTAACGTTTTAAAATACAACTTCAATGGAAAAATGCATTCTCATTTCTAAAAGAAGTTAATTTACAAATAATCTACCAAAATATAAATCATTTTTACATTAAAAGTGACCTGAATGAGTTACAATCTAAAACTCTTGAAGCACATACTAAATATGCACATGCAAAATAACAATTAAAATGCAAAGTGATACATGATTTGAATACCAAATATGAAACAGAACGTTCAAAACACCTTTAAAACAGGCCAATTATTATAGGTAGAGCACAGAAAGTCCCCAACATGGAAAATATTTAGATGAAAAAAGATAGAGCCAAGAGGACCCACATATTGATTATAAGGTTGAATCAGAAGTGATTTTTTTAAAAAGAAATGATTATTTAATAGAATTAGAGTTGAGACAATATTTTAATAATAAATAAGAGGTGAAATAAGGTAACTAGAGAAGGAGATGCTTACAGAAAGCTTGGAACATTAGGCTCAGGAACAGCACTGGGAGCTACTGCAACTTATTAAAGAAGTGACATGAAAAAAGGGATTTAAAAATATGAATGGAGTATCCATCTCTACAATAAAAATAGTTTTTGTTAGTTGTTGGGTAGATGTGCAGCTCCAACCATTGAGGCTTAAATTGTTACCCATACATTCTTGTAATTAGTTACATGTCATATTGCTATTCCTATCCTGATTAGATTCCTCATCTTATAACCTAATTCTCCGATTTATTCATTTATTCCAAAAAACTTATCAAGTTCCTCATGTTGCCAGGCATTGTGCCAGGCTTACTACAGTTAAGCACCACAAACCCAGCCTCTGTCCATGTGACGCTTAAGAGTATAAATACCAGGGGCCCTAGAATGTAGTCTGTACTGGTGAATGTTACATACGTGCTTGAGAAGACTACATTATGCTGCTATTGGGGGGAACAATTTATAATGTCAATTAGATCGACTTAAACGATAGCACTGTTCAAGTCAATTTCATCCTTAGTGGTTTTCTGGGTGCCTGATTTATCAATTACAGGCAGAGAGTAAAGTCGCCAACTTTAATCACAGATTTGCCTAGTTTTCCTCCTGTAATTCACCACAATTACTACTTAAATGTTCCTACTAGTTCACAGTTCCAGCAGCTTCTATTCCAGGTAAGCAGATCTCATTTGTGACTACCTCGATTAAGCTACTTTCTACATTTCAGGGTGAGAGTTTGCCCTGAAAACTCAATTTTCTAATGGGCCTAAGAAAAGTCATTGACTGTCAGTTTATTGATTTTTTTTCTGGTGAGGACAGGATTGATAATTTTGAAGCTGTGTATATGGTGGAGATGAAAATGAAAGTCATTGTTCCAACTGGAGTGGAAAAAATGCATTCTTTAAATCAATGGCTTGTAATCCTGTGCCTATGCAACCATTAATCCTGATATGTCAACTTCACTAGCAAATTAGTACAGCATGCTCCTGGTGTGTATGGGTGTCTCACGAAAGCATATTCTTGGGTACTGTAATAGGATCTTTTGTCCTTTCCTTTCTGGCACTGTTCCCCGGCTCTGCTTCCTAGCCACTAGGAACTGAGCATCTTTACTTCATCACACCCTTCTGCCATGTTTCTTCCAGGGAGCCAGTCAACAATGGAATGAATCCCTAAAATTGTGAGCCAGATTAAACTTCTTCAAACTGTGGGTATCTTCAGGTACTGAGTCCAGCAATGAGACATCTAATACAGAAAATTGGTGCCAAAGAAGAAGTACTATTGCTATGACTATATTTAACCATGTGGTTTAGAAGTCATTGGCACTGGCTTGCTGAAGGGCTTTGGAAAGATTTTGAGATACACACTAGTTGAGTGATTCTGGTCAGAGCTCAGAATACAAGAATGCTGGTAGAAATACAGACATTCGAAGCCAGGCTCAGGAGGCTTTAGTTTGAAATGAGGACTTCATTGGCATTTGGACTAGAAGGCAAGTGTGTTATATTTTGGCAAAAAAATGTGATCTACATTTTGGCCATATTTTGAGAATTTTTAGGTCACTGAGATTCATTTACCTGGAAGACTAATTTATCTGGCAGAGAAAATTTTAAAATAGCCCAACATTCAAGATGTGATATGGGTGCTGCTGGCTGCTTTTAGCCAGATTTATAGTAAGTATCAGAGACAAAAGAGCAGAAAACTTTGAAAAATTTAAATCTGGCAATCATGTGTAAAGTTGGGTCAAAAGAGGGGTGGTTGCTAAAGAGAGTACCATTAAAAAGCAAGCAGTACTTTGTAGGGAGCAAGAAGAAAGATGACTTGAGGAAACCCCAAGAATCAGCAAAATACCATCCACCACAGCCTCAGGGGGCAGAAGTGTAAATCTTTTATTTGAGAGAGTTCCTGAGATGCCTGCTTGAGAAGGACCATTTGAAGAATTGGTTCCCTAGGATTGGTTTCACTGGCCTCAGCCATCCAGACATTCAGAGGCTGCTACAGCCATGACCCGACACAGCCCACTACTGCTTGAACTGGCAGCAAAGTCTGGCATCATTCACATAATGCTGGTTTTATGAAGGTTATTCACAGGAAGGTCAATAAGGCCAAGCAAGGAGCCTCCAAGAGGACATCGTTGAAGAAGTGGGAATAAAGCTAAAAGTCTAGTAGAGTCCCCCCAGAAAGGTGAAGATCCCAGGAATGTGGAATATCTGCAAAAGAAACCTGTGGCTCTGAGTGAACCCAGCTTGAGACAGGTAGTCTGAGCTGCAGCCAGCAAGGCCAGTGGGCAGGGCTGCCCTCTGGAGCTCACATCTACCATCACATGCACTGCATGCAAAGGACAGAGTTACAAGACTTAAAGTTTTCCTTTCTGGATTTTGATCTTTCTTTGGTCCAATTCTTTTCCATGATCCTGTTCTTCCCTTACCTACCCTGTTTCATTGTACTTTGTGATTATGTAACCTATTTTTGATTTTTACAGAGGTT